AGATAAATATTATATCAAGAGAAAATGAGATTAATAAATTTATATTTAAATTTGATGATGAAGTTTATTACTCGTTTCTATAATATGTTATTAGGCTTACAAAAAGTGTTAGAACTCGCAAACTATAGAATAATTTATATAATTACTGCGCCTAACTACAAAAATATACTAAACAGCTTTGGAATCATAACTTCTGTGTATTATATCTATAACAAAAATATTAAATACAATTTTTTACTAAAAGAATGATATTTTTATTGCAATAATAATAAAGTATTCTATAAATGATTAATAATAAATATGTATCTTTTCAAAAAAAATCTGAAAACTTCTGCTCACTCTCTTGCCTGTGCATTTTGTTGACATTTATCCAAATCAACTGGAGGAAGAATAAGAGAAACCACAAAGCAGACGCAAGCTAAGGCTGTACCAATAGTACACATAACCCACTGAGAGTCTCCAAGTGCTGCTATCCAATTTTCTTTAAGTTCTGGAGGGAGGAGATCGGTATAATTATTTTTTGCTAGAAGATCAGGAATAAACTCGTGATATTCTTTAGGGAGATGGTTCATTAAATGAGCCCAAGTATAAGAATTCCAGAGAGCGTTGGTGATTGAAAGTGCAACAGTATTGAAAACATTGGATACAAGATTATCTACAGCAGAGATATTGGCAATTTCACTAAAATCAACGGTAGATTGAAGTACCACTAACCCAGCACACGCGGCAAAGCCTGAGCCAAGACCAATTACAGATTCTCCAAAAACAACAAACCACTCAGGAGTATGAGGATGACGGGATCCAAGAGCGAGGCCCATACCAATAGCATTGATAATTAAAGATATCCAGACGATAGATCTAATATAACTAAATTTTCTGATTATAAGTGCACAAATGGATCCAGAAATGAACCAAGTAATACGAAATCCTAAAAAAATTAAAGCGGTGTGATCTTGATCAATTTCACGGGCCAACCCCAAATATGAAGTCATATAAGTCCAAGTAAAAGTGGAATCAAAGGCTAAAAAGGCACGAACTAAAACCATTATAATTGCAGCTCTATTATTCAAAAGCCTACGAGTGATAAGAGGGTGCTTTGCATACTTTACTTCCCAAAGTATAAACGCAATAAGGATTAATGCACCTAAAATGATAGGTACAAAAATAGCGGGAGAAGCCCAGCCATCAGTTTCTCGAACAACAAAACTGAAGGGAATAAGAACACAGCTTAACCCCGATGTCAGTAAAACTATGCCAGCCCAATCGACATTAAGAATGGAAGAGGCTTGGTAGTTAAACTGAGGTAATAAGCGCTTTGCCTTTCTTTGTAAACTAAATAAGCTAAATAAAATTGGGATACCAGTTATAATAGTCATAATACCTTGACAATTATAAACCCAACGCCAATTATCTCCCTCTTTGGCGGCATTAATAACTGGAATTGATGCACCAAGAGCAATTGCGCTAGGTAAATAGTATAGGATGAAACCAAATCCACGGTTTTTAGGTGTGAGAAAATCGGCTAAAATAATTGGAACTAGAAGCGTACGACCGGTATTGCCTAAGTCATTGATAATATTGCCAGCGCTATAAGCTCCAAAGCCGGGAGCTGTTCCTGTAACAAATAAACCGATAACACTAAGAGTGAGGGATAAAGAGAGAATTATACCACGACCGTAAACATCTGAGAGAGCAGCGAATAGTGGAACAAATAGAAGACTCAATAGGCTACTTATTACTTCGACAATTGGACTGATATCGAAATAGCCTAATTTTGAAGTAATAGACCAAGCGAGTTGATAAGTAGCACCGAAGCAAATGGATACAGCAAGTCCTAAGAAGAAAACGCTCAAGTAAATGATCCAGCAATCAAGATTACTACGAATTTGGGCCATTTTTAATACAATATTAGTATCCGAAGCATTGTCACTAGCTTTAGATACTGTGCCATGTTCATCATCGCCATAGAGAGGGGGTAGCTGGTCGTTCTTAGGCGTGTTAGTTTCCATTTAATTAAAAATTTATTTACTAATATCTGGTTACGATGCGCGCTTAAATAGCAAATATTTATTAAATTATAATGCCCCTTTGGTACAATAGAACGAGTAAAATCACACTTTCTTATCTCTTTGAACTTTGCGAATATTTATAGTAACACAGTGCTATATCAAATTTAAATTTTAACCTATATTTATCTTTTTTAACTCTTACACAACAATGATTTTATTATTCGCTTAATTAGAAGTAATTGCTAATTAAAAGATTTGTTTGAATAATTCGATTAAGATTTTATAGTAAAATTTAGTGATAATAAATATGCTGAAGTTTGGCAATATGAATTAATAATTATAAATATATTTTTAATGCTTATTTATTTTCATCATTTGGAATAATTAAAATGAGTTTTTATTAACTTAATTTATTATAGCATTTGATCGAATATATAGCAACATTGGATATATATTGAACAGATTTAAATTTGAATATTTTATTCAACTATAAAAGCTTTATTAATTGAGAAGGTAGATAAAAGATCCATTTAAAATTATAACTTATTGGCTATTATTAGCCATTAAAATTTATATATTGGCTAAGTAGATGATAAATGCGAAAATCTGGTTAAAGTATTTTGTGCACCAATATTTTTTGCAAATTAACATTAAAACATAACAATACTAATAGTTTCAAATCTAATTAAATGTATATTGATTTAAATAAAGTTAGAAAATATATGATAAAAAATTTGACTCATTGCTTTCAATATATATAATAGCACTATCAAGCATTATATAGATAGCTATATTGGCGTATCGATATAAATTTTGTATCATTTACAAGTGGTGCACTTTATGAATAACCTAAGTTTCTCATTTTAACCAATAACAAGTAAAAACACCAGTTGAGTTTATTTTGGTTTAAAAAATAGCTAATCTGATATGCATATATATCTGATAGAGAATGCAGCATCTTATAAATACATAATAAGTAGTAATTTAACAACTAAACCCTACTTTTGTAGTCTCAAAAATATTAATAACATAATATTTTCTAATTTAACTTTTCTACTAATTGAGCGATTTTTAAACCAACCCATTATCAGATTTTTTATCAGCTTCCTATCTTAGCAATGTTTGAATAATATTATTTGACAACTTATATTGATATTTAATCATTTTACAGCACAACATTAATAATATTATTCAATATAACAGCATCCATTAGTAATTAATTGATAGTTTTTAAATAGTTTTGTATATTCAAATTAAAAATGTAATATGAGTAATTCTGGTTAATTTGATTCAAATTTTGTATAATCTCAGTTCAAAATTTTTATTTTTTATAACCGAGCTTTCATCGTGTATAGTCCTTATTTAATAGATAATTTATAATGATATCGTATTAACATACTATACTATCGACTTTAACTAATAATATTTACTCTTTAATAAGCCTTAAGCAACTAAAAATCAAAAATATTCGAATAATCCAAATAAAAATTTTTGGTCAAATTTGTCCTCGTTTTAACTAGAATCTTTCATATAAAAAATTCAAGTTAGTTTAAATCAAATTTATATGATAAGAGTTAAAAACTTTTATAGGATAAGATATTGGCACTTTTAAGCTACATATTTTAAATTTTGATTGAGGTCATAATTTAAGCTTTAAACATTAACAGAGTTTATTTCAAACATTATACAAAGATGAAATTTTAAAATTTGCTAAAAATTGGATTGCTTAGCTGGAACCAGTGTATATAATTAATATTAAAAGAACAATAATAGAGTAATATAAATAATGACTATTACCACAGTCAAATAAAAATATTGCAAAAAATATATGGGGAAATAAAATTAAAAATGGAACGCTCCCAGGCGGGTTCGAACCGCCGACCTTCGCGTGACCTAGTATAAGTTGTTCACTTATAAGCACGACGCATTGACCACTTTGCTATAGGAGCTTACTTAAGTCCCCTAACTTTCTCTTTTCTATTGTATTAGGAGAGTTTATTAAATTTGTAGATCATTTATTATATCTTTGTGGGGTATTATTTATTTTAATCTTTATTGTTACACTTGAATTTAGTTTTAAGATTGCTTAAGTATTTATCATATGTATACTTATTTTATCACTTATTAACACAAATATAAAATAGCTATTTTTAACAATACGCAAAGCTAAGTTATTTTCTTTTGTAGTATTATATCTAGTACATATATACTTAATAAAACTATATAGTTTTATTATAATAGTAATATTAATTCATTTAAATTCAATTTCTTACACTAATCGAGATTAAGCCGAAATAACATCGAGTACAGTTTTATTACAAGATTAAAACATTATAATTCTACAATACATCTAAATATATATGAATTAATATCATTTATAACTACTTTATATTACTGTATTACGTTATTAAACTGTGAGATCTTTAAGAAATTAACTGCGCTATAAACTTATAATAATATATTCAATAGATAAATTCAGCTCTTACACTAGTGTATTATTCCTAAACTACGTAAATTTCAAGTAATTATAAATAAAGAAAACATTCCCATAATAATATAATTTATTAAAGTTCACTATAAAGTTTATTTTAAGTCAACATATAAATTATTACTATAGTAATAATTTAAAAATTTAATATTAATAAATAACACTATAAAAATCCTTTTAATTTATTAAACTATTAAGAAAAAATTTAATTAATGCCAAAGTAAATTAATAATAATTAGCAATCAAGAATATTAATTAACTAATGATTTAGGAGGTCAATTTCAAATTCTTCAATCAGCTCTCGTGGCTCATTCCGCAGCGTATCCCGTTCTCGTTCACCAATATCAACCTCACGGTCACGCTCACCCCGTTCAAGGTCATACACTCCCTCTTCCTCAATTTCGCGTTCACGTTCACGCTCCAGAAGCTACTATTCAAGGTCGCGCTCCCCCTCCCGTTCTCGAAGCCCTAGATTTAGAAGAGATGATAGAGCCGCTGGTTCGAGAGAAGCTGAAAAAACTCCTCTAAATCAGCTAAAAGTAACCAATTTAACTACATTTGTTACGGAACTTCATTTAAAAGAAATTTTTGGAGTTTATGGAAATATTGAATTTGTTAAATTTTTAAACTTTGATAGAAGTAAGTTAATATTTGTTTTTTTTGTTTTTTTACTAACATAACTTTGATAGGGAAAGTAGTAAACCAAGTCGCTATAATTCATTTTGAAACTAACTTGCTAAGTGAAGCTATTGATTGTATGGATGGCGTAAGTTTGTTAAATTTTCTTTATTTAACTTAATTTTAATTTTTTATTTTAGGCTCAAATTGATGGTAGGACTGTTGCAGTTACAAGGTATACCCCTAAACCGGTAAATCCTAGAAATTTCCGCCAAGGGTCGTCAAACTATAGAGGTAGAGGTGGTGCTTTTCGCGGCAGGCCTGCTAGATCATATCGCTCAAGGGGGCCACCAGCACGTCGAGGTCGCAGTCCTCCAAGGCGCTCGAGATCTCCATACCGCAGTAGATACTCTAGACCTGCTGATGGTGGGAGGTCCCGCAGCCCTGCAAGAGGCTCTGGAGGTCAGAGAAACGGCACAAGGTATAGAAGTAGGAGCACATCTTTTAGTAGAAGTAGAAGCCCACCACCCCGTAGAAGATCATCATTTGATAATAGGAGTCCTAGTCCAAATCGAGGTAGAAGATATTCTAGATCAAGATCTTCAAGTGCTGGCTATGATAGAAGAAGAAGATCGCCGAGCTATTCTAAAAGTCCTTAATTATCTAAAATCATGAATATTTAAAACATAACTTATTTGCATTTATAATAATTATTGAAAAATAATAAAATCAGTATATATTTATAATTTAAGTTTTATTTTTTAATATATAATTTTTTATAAAATTAGCATAAATACAATAGCAATAACTCGAGTTTAAATTGAGTTAATTACCAGTTAAGAAAGAGAAGAGTAAGTTAGCAAAACTAATAAGTTTAGCTAATTAATATTAGTAGATGATTAATAAAGTAGGGATTATAATAATTAATAGCTGTTGATAAACTCATGTTGGAAATAAAATGACCCTGCAAGTAAGAACTTGTATTTAGCAAAAGGTCCATGTTAGGGCTGAAAGTGATAGATGACTAATTATTAGACTTTAGAGAGAGATTTTGATAGATTAAACTAATAGAACCAAATGCTCTTTCAAGTTTACAGGTATATTGCCTTACATCAGCATCCTTATGATTTACTCAAACCAGCGTCAATCAACCCTTTACCCTTAATCTCACCAAAATATCTATTAGGATCCAACACTTTCTTCACAGCTGTAATAATAACCCAAATTAACAATAATTGAGGAATTGGAGCTAAATTATCATCTGGCGTGAACAAAATATACTTTGGTGTATATGTCTCCCAAGAAAATATTAAATGATTAATAAATTGCTTAATTTGTAAAAGTGCAGTAGATTGAATTGTTTCAAAGTTGGTAAAGTCGATAAATTGAATAAATCTATAATTTAAGTTAATACTAAAATAATATTACTAAGTTTTAGGGTTACCTGTTGAAGTAAGCGTGTGTATAAACCGTTAATATCAAAATCAACAACACTAATAGCACCAAGTTAAACGAATAGTTTAAAAAGCTTATTATATGATATAAAATGGGTTTTGAAACTTCTTGGAATTGAATACTCTATAGATTAAATTAGATTAATAAAGCCATAATATATTATTTGGTTACCTCAATTTTGTCGATTCTAATTTTTAAAGTTTCACTAATTTGATTGGCTGAATCGAGTAAAGTTTGATAATTTTCATTATTTCTGTTAATAGCTAATTTTGGCTAAACGGATTATAATTAGTATATATATAAACGATAATAATAAAATTAACTACTTTTTCACTAACAATACCCTCCAACTCCTTCAATTCACTATTAAGCTTATTCTCAAACTCTTCAACTAAACTTCTAAACTTATTACCACCTGATTCCTTATCATCGAACAATTCTTTCAGCTTATCCATTTCACCAATAAATTTACTATAATCACCCTTAATCTTTTCTAACCTTTCTCCATTTTGTTTCAACTCTTGTTCAATATTAGCTGGTATAATAGAGTTTTGATGTGATTGGTTAAGGTTAGATTGATCCAATTCGTTATAGATTTCTCTGGCTATAGAGAGAGTTTTTGTTAGTATATAAATTGCTAATGGCTTTAATAGGGATTACTTGTGAGATTTGTTATAATTTGTGAAGGAGCTAAACTCAAATCAATATTGGAATCCAAATTATTAGTCTTGCTATAATGTTCTAAAACAATTATTATAAACTACTATATTAATATATTGCATATAAATTACCTAAGAACTTTTCCTTATCAAATTCGCCCCCTTCGCCAGTACTATTACTATCAAAATAACCCACCAAAGCCTCTACATTAGGATATTTCTTAACCTCTTCATTCATCAATTCAAACATATTCCCTGATTTAGAAGCCATTGAATTTTGATAACTTTGATACTCGTTAAATGAAATAGGTCTATTAAATTGCTGACTAGTTGAATTCTGGTCATCATTCTCGGATCTGTGTTCTTCAGAATCGGTGTTATGTTCGTTTATAAACTCTATTTCATCTTCGGCTTCAAAATTCAAAAAGTTGGGGTTTTGATGAGATATACTTAAGTCTTCGCTAATTTCTATGGGTTCTGTATTGAATTCAGGACTATCTTTCTCCTCTTCAATTACTATTAACAATATTAATATTTGAACTTTAAAACAAATTATAACAATTACCTGAAGTTAACGAATCAGCTAATAAACTTTGGCTACCAGATAATTTTTTACCAGCACTAGCTAATAAACCTTTACGGGGTTTTCTAAACTTTTGAGATAGCATCTAACAAGAACTATTAATAAAAATTATATAATAAATTTAAATGTTAAATTACTTGAGCAGTTGACATCAAATCTTCATCTTCAATATCACCAGTTAATTTCTGACCTTCTTGACTATCAGACTTTCCTATTGGAACCCAGTCCCTAATACTCCCTCTTTCCTCGCTGCCCAAACTCTTCATATAAGTTGGAATCGGCAGTCTAGATTTTGGCTTTGGAGAAAAATCAGCACTTCTATCACCGCCACCAGAGCCATATTTCGCACTCAAACTAACTGACCCAATTCTACCCGTTGAATTAAATTTTGTAGTCATAATGCTCTTAACTCTATTCAAATGAGCATGAGTATTTTTAGCATAATTTGGCAACTCGTCAAAATCTATAGAATTACGGGAGTGTGGCCTTGAGCTTATAGAGCGAAGGGAATGTGTTGGACTTAGAACTATTCTACGGGAGGAGTTTTGGAGAGGACTTATTTCGCTTTGAGTTGAGCGCACAGATGAGACAGAGGAGGGCCGTTCGTATTTGTAGGGGTCTATGCTGTCGAAACTAGAATTTTTTTTGTGATTGGAACGACCCAAGGTTCTTGAGCTATTACTTTTGTTATTCATATTTTCAGAATGATTACAAGTATCTAAAATTGGAGAGTTTGGCTCTTCTATACCAAGTGAAGAATTTTTCTTCTTTATTTTACGTACACAGATAGAGCAAGAAGAGGCCATATCCCTATCTTTTATACTATTTTTAGTTATAGGGGGTAATAATAAGTAATTTATTAAACTCACTAAATATACTAACTTATTTTGGATTGATTAATTAAACCCTTTTTTCAAGTTGATTATTTTTAACTATTTTTTGTTGTTTGGTGAATAGTAAAGCAAGAATTCTATGTTAATTTGGTTCAATTAAAGTGATAAATTTGGGCTTAGGTGCCTATTAAATTAATTTTATTCTCCAAGTTATATTACTCCACTCGAATTTATTTAATCGGCATTTTATTGGTTAATTTTTGAGGATTTTCTCATATTTTTGTATATTTCAATTTCAATTTTTTAAAATTTT